GGTGCTATTTTAGAGAAAGGGGCTAAGGAAGATCTTTTTGAAGCGTTAAGATTGGGCAGAGAATTGAACAAAGTGAAAGAACAAGCCACAAAGATCTAGGGAAAGCGGGTTCCATGTGGAGGCAGGTGCAAAGGCCCTGAGACGGATTAATCTTGGTGTGTGTGGGTTCTTCCAAGTCTTCCAGCAGGACTGCAGAAAAGGAAGGGAAGGAGTGGCAGGAGGTGATGTTGGTAGGGGACAAATCATAAGGCTGCTACAGGTCATGGTAAAAGTGTGGATTATAACCTAAAGGTGGGAAGTCTGCAGCAGGAGAGTCACGTGATCCAACTTACCATTTTAAGAGCATCAGTCGGGCTGACTGGGAAATAGTATGTAGGTGGGCAAGAGAAGCAGCAGGAAGACCAAGTGCAGGACCCATTTGCAGTGTAGGAGACAACTGTCAGTGGCCCAGACGAGGTGGTAGGGGAGGAGGTGCTGGGCAAAGGGCGGATCCTGGGTGTACTCTGAGGGGAGAGCAGCCGGAGATGCTGCCGCGCTGCTTGGCGGCACAAGGCGAGCCGTCCGAGATGGCTGAGCAGTGGATGGATGGCAGAGAGGAGGAGGAGTGTGTGGCTTGGGTTGAGGGGTGACGGCTGGGTGCATCATGTGTATTCGAGAGTTCTGTTTCAGACACTGTACATTAGTGAGATGTCTCCATTTCATCCTCACTTCAAAACCACAACCACATTAAGCTCCCTAAAATGAAATTTTCAACGTGTTATTCTCCTATCCGCAAACCTCTGACAGAATCCCACAGCTTACTGAGTGAACTCTGGACTCCTATGCTTGGAAGTCAAAATTTTTCACAATGACCTATCTCCCTGGCTGTCTGCACCTCATTTTTCTGTACTCCTCATACACAGTGCTTGGGAAATAAGAGTATATTCAATAAAACGTCAAATGAATAAAAATATTTGTGTTCATCCTTTACCCTATTTTAAAGTCACACTAAAGCTGACCTTTTTAATGAAAATCTTCCCAATCCCTTTGGCTATGTCACTTTTTCTATTCTATACTCCCACCCAGTGGTAAGTGGATAAGGATGGAGGCTCCCTGAGAAATAAAGCCCTGATGTGAAACACATGTTGCTATTTGTGGTGTAAATACTCCCAGTGTAGAAGACTGCCAGCCACCAACATGTCCCAGAATATGGAGCTGAGAAGGCCTGTACACCGTCACAACTATGTGAAGTGGGAGGAGCCAGAGCCAGCACATCACTGCTCCTACAGTACACACTGTCCACACCACTGACAGTCACTCACTGCAGAGTGACTTTTACTGTATGTATCTATATACAAATCTTCCCCTATTAGATTGTAGATATGTGGAAGGCAAAACCTTCGTCATATACAATGGTGGCTATCACCAGCTAAACAGCCTTGGGGCCTCAAAGTTCAAAATGGAGGGTCAGACCCAAACAACAAAGTCCCACAGTTCTATGTCTGAATGGTCCGTGTCTCTCCCAAATTTCTCAGTCCACTGATCTGAATGAGAGAATTAGAATATAAAGTTATCATGTTGGACCCAAAATAAAATCTTCCCTGAAAACAAAGCAAAATAAATATATGATGACATTTTAGGATCACAAATAGAAAATGTGATCACAGATGACTCTATATACCACTCTTCCTCAGACAGAGTTGAAGAGTAAAAATGTAGTTCTTTTATTTAAAGGAATTCAAATGTACACACTGATTAGCCCAAGAAGCACACCTAGTTTTGGACTAAGGTGTAATCACTGGACAGAATAAAAGAACACCATGAAATACTAAAACTAAAAATATGAAATTAGATTCTCATCAGAGCACAGAATAAAAATGATAGCTTTGAGAAATTTTGGTAAAGTGAAAAACATCTGACTGAAGAAAAGTGAAATGCTTAGGTCTTTCTTTGCCCATTTCTTGATAGGTAAGTTTAAATCAAATTTAACTCTCAAGAGATTAAGCTCACAGGAAAGAAATTATTTCTTTCTTTGCTCTAAGCAAAATGAAATACAGGAAAACCAAGGCATAAATATCGACTTGTGCTGGGGCACCTGGGTGGCTCAGTCGGTTAAGCGTCTGACTTCAGTTCAGTTCATGATCTCACAGTTCATGAGTTTGAGCCCCACGTCAGGCTCTGTGGTGACAGCTCAGAGCCCGGAGCCTGCTTCAGATTTTATGTCTCCCTCTCTCTCTGCCCCTCCCCTGCTTGTACTCTGTCTCTCTCTCTTTCAAAAATAAATAAACATTAAAAAAATAAAAAAAAAATAGACTTGTGTTAAGTTCACTCAGAAATAGTTAAAATATGTGAAAGCACAGATCCTCTGATACTTTTTACAATATATGTTTCTGCCTAAGGTCTGGCTGTTCCAATTCTGTTCCCCACTCTTATTCTTTAAATGTCACCAACCCCAAGCTGGGTCTGTGTCCCCTAAATGCAAAAGGTCCTGGCAGCGCTAGGGATAAGGGGATGAGTGAGTCAGTAGAGTGAAATGGTTGTAGGGCTCAGGGCTGGGGGTGGAAGGTATGAGGAACAAGGTTTGGTAGGATTCGGCAAGGGGAAAGCCGTAGAGCAGGCACAGGGCACTAGCTCTAGGAATCCATCCAAAATAATCAAGAGAACAAGATCCAAAGGACCAAGAAGGAGGAAGAGGTCCTTTGTCCATAACAAAGTTCCACTGAAAAGCCTGCTGGTCCTGGGGTGCCGGGGTGGCTCAGTCAGTTAAGCAGAACAACTCTTGGTTTCAGCTTAGGTCATGATCCCAAGGTTTGGGAGTTCCAGCCCCGAGTTGGGCTCTGCGCTGACAACCTGGAGTCTACTTGGGATTCTCTCTCTCTCCTCTCTGTTCCTCCCCTGCTTGTTCTGTCTCTCTCTCTCAAAATAAATGAAAATTTTAAAAAATACCCAAATAACCCCCCCCACAAACCAGCAACTCTTTCTTTAAAAAGAACAAAACACAAAAAACTGCTTGTCCTAAGGCACCTGGGGGACTCAAGTCAGTTGACTGACTCTTGATTTCAACTTAGGTCATGATCTCACACTTCGTGGGACTGAACCCTGAGTCTGGCTCTGTGCTGACAGAGTAGAGCCTGCTTGGGATTCTGTCTCCCTCTCTGCCCCGTTCCTGATTGCTTACGCTCTCTCTCTCTCACAAAATAAATAAATAAACTTAAGGAAAAAAACCCCAACAACTTGCTGGTCCTGCTAGAAGTTTTTGTCCTCTCACATGGCTGGAAAGAATGCAACTTTGATAACATAATACTCATTTTCACGTCAAATGTACAATCCTTTGTTCAATTATTTTCTTAACTTTCTTCAGGCACAGAAGATCCTGAGCTGCAGCAGCCATTTGCCAGTTTCATCTAGGGATTTGTGTACGCCCTCTGTATTTTAGAAGTGGGGAGAGGGGCTGACATAACTTTGGAAATGGACTGATGACATAGAGCAGCACAGAAGAGCTTCACCTTTGGAGGTAATTAATTCCCGGTTATATTGATATTTATGATTAATCCGCTTTGAAAACTGATACAAAATGCTTTCTGTAAAGCTGGCAAAAATTGGAGCCATTATGTAATGAATTATTTTATTATACACAGAACTAAAACCATATGCAAAGCATTATTTCCTTTGAGGAATGAACAATGCAGAACAGATATCAGGGGGTGGGGAGAAAAAATATCAGAGGAGCATGGATGAAATGTGATAATTTAATATATGAGAGACTATAAGAATTATAAAATAATTTAATAGAAAACAGGTGGGAGAAGTGGTAAGTCCTCTTTACAATGCTAAACCCAGCCCAAAACTGTCATTAGTCAATACTTTGTGATTGAAAAACAAGGCAGACTTTCAGTGGGGAGGAGGGTATTTTTTATCATATATTTGAACTAATTAAATCTTTTTAAGCAGAGAATATCACAGAATAGTAGTACCACTGTACCCAGGAAAATTTGTCCTTCTAGGTCTCTAAATAAGAATGTATAATAAGTATACAGAAGGTAACCTAAGCAATGCTAACGTGGTGCCCAACTCTTCTAGACAGAGCTGTTTCCTTCTTATTTTTGTCTGAGTTTCAAAGGTTGCAAATTTATTCACAAAAACTCATGAATATACACTCCGTTTTTAAAGTAATTATTAATTATTATGAGAACAGACACAAACTGGCAGGCCCCAAGAACTCTTGAGAGACACTGCCTGTATGTACCTATGTAATAACTTATCTTACAGACAGCCTTGCCTGTTTATTGTGAAATTAATCGTGATCCCAAATAGAAAGATAATAGCAGTTTTCTAGCACTAAATTATGGAGCTGCTTCTCGTCCACGCTCTGCACTTGTTTATCAACTGGTGACTCATGCAGTCAGTCTTACTTAATAACTGGCTTCACAGGAGAATTCTAAGAATTCATAGTTAGAAGTTGTATAAAATGAGTGAAAATGTGCATGTTCATTTAACTATAGTTATAAATAGAAATAAGTGAGCCTGACATAAGAAGATAGATTTAAGAATATCACTACCTTTTGTTGATAACATTTTGAAGTGTAACAGGTAATGTTCTTTTGGCGAGAAAGAAGGAAATTGCTCACTTCTGGTACGGTTTTAGGAAATCAGGATGCATTTAATAAATTTTACCTTCTGGGACCCAAATGACATCTAATGGCTTAAAAAAAGATTTTATACTCTCAAAATATGGGTAACTTTTCCATTTAAATATCTCTAATTTGTTTAGTTCAAATATTAAACCAAAAACATGTAAATTCTTTTCAGAATTTAGGACTGCATATGTAACGTTATTTTAGCACAAGATTTCACAAGTTAATGAATATGTCTCCTTTATTTTATACTTTTAAAAAGTTTTTAAATTTGCCGTATGGAAAAAAACCCAAAATACAATGTATTAACACACAATATTTTATAATTTTTCCCTAGCTAGAGAATGTCAAGGAAAATGAACCTTCATAATGTAGACTATTGATTACCTGGTTTAAGAGATCTTCTACTTTCTTCTGCCATGAATCCCTGGCTGCATTTTTCTCTCTCTCTTTTAATTGCAAAAGTTGAGACATTGCTGACTTCTTATCCTCTTCATGTTGAAGTCTTAACTCTTCACGAAGTTTAGAACACTCTTGTCTAAAATAAAACAAATGTTTTTACTTTTTAAAGAGAATTATTCCTCTCAATAGCTAAAATATAATTGTTCACAGGTTTTCTATGTATTTAATTAATCCTCAAAAGTAAACTAAGAATAAGAGTTAATAATGATTTTAGTCAGGCTTCCAAGACTATACGGTAAGTTGGTAACTTACCTATGATCATTGATTTGTCAGTTATCAATGGCATAAGAGGTACTAGAATAAGATTTCTGACTTGAGATTAGTATTTTATATTAAAAAAATAAAATCAGAAAAAGTACTGAAACAGAAAAAAAGAATTCCATTTTCTCTGCATCTAATCATTAAAAAATTCATTAAAAATACTGTCCCTATGATTTTAACAATAAGACAATATAAGCCATATAACAGAAAAGCATCTTTGCGCATCTGTATTTTTTTTTTTTGAGAGAGAGAACGAGAGAGAGACAGATAGACAGACAGAATCTGAAGCTCGATGTGGGGCTCAAACTCATGAACTATGAGATCATGACCTGAGCAGAGGTGAGATGTTTGACTGACTGAGGCACACAGGTGCCCCTGCACATCTATACTGATAAGATTACATCACAGAGTAAAAAATGTACCTAAGGTTTTCAGTCCATTTTATTTCTAAGTCATGGGCCATTCTGTCCACTCTGAGCTTCTCTTCCTCTTTCATGACAGCAAGTATTTCTTCATGCTGTTGTCTTTCTTGTTCTAGCTCACCCTGAAAAATAAAAATTTTTCAATGAAAACAAGGGTTCAAAAGCAAAGACATTGCTGGTTATTTCAAATAAACAGAGTGCTTGCATTGTAACTTTTAAATTCTTACAGCACAATAACTGATAGTGCCATTTATAACAATTACTCAAGATTTTCTGACAGTATATAGCACACATTTTATATTTTAAATGTCCTTGTGCAAACTATGTTTTATCAAGACTTATAATTTTACAAATCATTTAAAATGGCTTGAAGTTAGTATAATTAATCTCTTTTTCAATGTTTATTTCCTATGAGACAGAGAGAGCTAGGTAGGGCAGAGAGATGGAGAGAGAGAATCCCAAGCAGGCTCAGTGCTATCAGTGAGATCATGAGATCATGACCTGAACCAACATCAAGAATCGGACGCTTAACTGACTGAGCCACCTGGGTACCCCAATTATCTTAACTAAACTTTCCATATCATGGGTACCTATTATCTTCATATATATACACATTACATAGATACACTCTTTAAATTCATTCATACTTGTAATCAAAAGTCTGCTATTTATTCAAAGCTGAAGCATTATAGGTATACTTCACTGACATAATTAAAATAATGATAAGACATGCTGGCTACTATTTTTATCATGTAACTTCAAAACAGTGATCCATGTGTTTAGTGTTATGGAAACATAATATGATACATATGAAACCCCTGTAGAGTAGCATGCATCAAGTGGCTCTCTGGAGCCTAGAGCTAGACATGACCTGTGTGGACGACACTGGCCACCACCAGTCCTGACCAGCAGTGGAGCTGTTCTCTGGCTACAACAGATGACGGTGCTTCCTTCTGTTCTAGCAATGTCCCTTTCTGGATCACCCACTACTCATAGCATGTGTGGTGACACTGCTGATGGGCATATCCAGAGTAATGGGAGAGAAGCAAGTCAATGCTGAAACCGCCATTCTGCATGGGTGACCCGGCTCATGGCAGGGAGTTCTGAAAACTGGACTCGGCCACCTTAGCCAACTATCTTTTTCACTAACTATTCTCCTCTAGGAGCTACTACTTTTCCCACCACAGGCAGCATTAGATGGGGTAGAATTACTTAGGAAGTATTTCTTTTACTGAATGCAAAGTACTTTATTAGACACTACTGGGGAAAGAAAAGAGGTAAAGAAGATACTTGCTCTTTTTTTTTTCCAAGTGTTTTCACATCCATCAGTCCATGGGATCGTCATAACAACATGGGGGAGGTTACAGGTGAGGAAACAGGCTCAGCAAGATGGAGTAATAGCAGAAATTATAAGCTCCAAACTACAGGTTTACAAATATTAAACTCATACTATCATCATTGTCATCAGCCTTTCACTCCTTTTTTCTCAACCATGGCCTAAGATGTCTTAAGTGCAGAGAGTCAGGCCTTATCCATGTCTGGATCCCCGACAGGTATCAACCAACAACTTGACATATATTCAGGGATCAATATCCATTCTATGATGGGTTCATTTATATAATACACAATAGAAACTCAGCAGGGAGGAGGGGAAAAAACTCACATCCAGAGAAAACACCTGCCATTAAGGAGCTTACCTAAGGTTGCAGTAAGTTGTGATGCAGCATCTGTATTTTCTCAATTAAAATTGTTCAGTGGAACAAATAAATGGACACTTGCTAAGGTTTTGCTTACAATATTTAGTATATTCCACTACTTGATAGAAGAGTAATATGAGCAAGGACCTTAGAGAAATGAAACTGATTCCAATACTAAGCTAAAAACATTAAATTTGAAATAATATTAATAAAAGGCAATGTTTCCTGAGTGCTTACTATTTTACTATGCACTGTGCTATAAATGGTTTTTTACCTCATTTAATTATTACAGTAGTGGTGTGAAGTGTATTATTACCCCTCACCACTCCTGCAATGTGCAGATGAGTGAATTGGGGCTTAGAACAAGTAACTTGCCCAAGTGACACACTAAGTGATGGATCAAGAAATCACACCCAGCCAATCTGACTTCAGAGCCCACACTCTAAATCACCTCTCTGCAGGAAAAGTAAGAACTCTCTGGATACTATACCCTTTGTTGTTATGGGGTCTTTTCTCTACTTTCTGAGATAATCTAAATATATGCTTTGCTCCATGAGAATGGAAGAGCACACAGCCTTTCGAAATTTGTAGGTGACAGAGCATTGTTTAGTTGCTACACATGAGAGTTTGAACGCTTACCAATAAAAGAACTGTGCATCTTGATTGTCATGGGTTGAATTGTGATCCTGAAGAGATATGTGGAAATCCTAACCCCTGTATCTCAGAGTGTGACCTTATTTGGAAATAGTGTCAGTGAAGATGTAATTCATTAAGAGGAGGTCATATTGGAGTAGGGTGAGCCCCTAGTCCTATGTAATGCAGAGCCTCATAAGAAGATGTGGGGACAAAAGGGGGTAGCCCGGGTGGCTCAGCTGGTTGAGTGTCTGACTCTAGATTTTGGCTCAGGTCATGATCCCAGGATTGTGGGATTGAGCCCTGGATAAGGCTACATGCCTAGTGTGGAGCCTGCTTAAGATTCTCTCCCTCTCTCTCTCTCCCCCCACCCTGCCCCTTCCCCTTCTTGAGCCCTTTCTCTAAAAAATTAAAAAAAAAAAAAAAGTAAGAAGAAGATGTGAGGACACAGGAAGAATGCCATTGAACACGGAGGAGGAAACTGAAATGTGACACAAGCCAAGGAAGGCCGGGGGCTACTGGGAGCTGGAAAAGGTGAGGAAGGACCTGCCCTTCTAGGATGAAAAGGAAGAATGGCCCTGAGAACAACACCTTGATTTTGGACTTTCAGCCTCCAGATTGTGAGAGGATAAATTCCTGCTGTTTTAAGCCACTTAGTCTTAGTACTTTGCTAGGAAAGCCCTACAAAACTAATACACTATATACAAGGTCTGTTTACAAGAGACAAAGTGATTAAATTATATTTTTACCTTGCTGATGTTTAGAGTATAGGAGTATAAAATTACCTCAACATTTAATAAAGCATCCTTGGTCTCCTTCAGCCTGCCTTTAGTCAAATCGAGCTCATTTTGAAGCCTTTCCTGGGAGTCCTGGAGACTAGCAATGAGTCCTTCTGCAGAGCCAAGACCTTGTTCGCTTTTCCTTACCAGATCTTGGAGGCGGCCAATCTGCAAGTAAATACAGTACTTTTAATCTACCTCACTGTTATCGACTAGTAAAATAGCCATGTTTGTTTTCTGGGTCTTTTCTTTAGTGGTAGTTTTACTGAAAGGGTCTGTTTTGATGAACGTGGAAGAAGCAGCACTTAAATAATCATGACAGCTTTATCTGTGGTTTCTTGCAAAGACCTCCATGTTTATGATTTCCTTTCTTCGTCACAACCATGTAAATGGGTGGATAATTCAAGCCCTTGTTTTAACAAAGAGAATTCCTCGTTCTATCAAAGGAACTGAAACAAGATGATTATTTCAAAGACAGAGGAAAAAAGGTATTTTTTTAGATGAAAAAGTACTTTTAATATTGCTCTTTAAAATTCATAAAATGAGCTGGGAAGCTTCCATTTTTTCTGTATTCTGAAATATTTTCACAGTTAAGATTTATCTGTTTAAAAAATTTTTTAAGTTTATTTACTTTGAGGTGGGGGAGGATCAGAGAGGGTGGGAAAGAGAATGGGAAGCAGGCTCCACACTGCAGCATGACCCAGATGAGAGACTTGATCCCACAAATCATGAAATCACCACCTGAGTCAAAATCAAGCCTCGGACCCTTGGGGCATTGGGTGGCTCAGTCTGTTAAGCCTCCGACTTTGGCTCAGGTCTTTTCAAATCCAGAATGGAGAAGGAGTACACGAGAGTGGGGAAGAATTTGAGATGGAGGAGGAAATCAGTAAATGCAAGTGGAAGGGCCTTAATTTGCTCATCAGAGCCCTGCTTTCAGATCTCAGGTGCCAGGATGACTTCTCAGCCTCAAGAAAACAAAAGTTTTCTAACAGTTAATGCATATCTTGCCCTTTCACCCTCTATTAAGCCAAATTTAACAGCTTTCATATATAAAGTCTTTCCTTTGGTAAAGAATGGCTTATTCTACATCTTCAAAAACAATTTGAGGAGTGCCTGGATGGCTGTTGGTTAAGCGTCTGACTTCAGCTCAGGTCATGATCTTGCAGTTCATGGATTTGAGACCTGCATCAGGCTCTGTGCTGACAGCTCAGAGTCTGGAGCCTGCTTCAGATTCTGTGTCTCCCTCTCTCTATGCCCCTCCCCTGCTTGCTCTGTCTCTCAAAAATGAATAAACATTAACAAAAAAAAAAAAAAAAAAAGACTTGGTCCTTTAACCAACTGAGCCAACCACCTAGGAGCCTCTCTGTTTCTTAAAAATTTTAATGAAATTCATCCATTAAAATCCTCTGGGGCTAGTGCCTCTCTAGATACATGTTGAGAGTCCGTATTTCATGGTTATAATTAGTTTGGCCAGGTTAATAAACTACTCTGAATCATTTCAGAAATTTAAAATTTTATACAAAGACATCTTTTTTCCTAATTTAAAAAATTTAATAGAATATTTACATATGATATTCATTTCATGTTTTAACATTTTCTCTGTCACTGAATTTATGCCCCCTTTCTCTAGTCAATCTAGCTTATTTGTATCTTCTCTACATTTTGTGTTGATCTGGCTGCCAAAAATTTTTTGTTTCATAATCCAGATAATTTTCAAATGAGTAAGAGTTATATGTACAAGTGGAATACATGAAAAAATCCAAATGGGTGTCTGGATGGCTCGGACAGTTAAGTGTCCGACTCTTGGTTTCAGCTCAGGTCATGATCGCACAGTTTGTGAGATCGAACCCCACAGTGAACTCTGTGCTGACAGCGCAGAGCCTGCTTCAGATTCTCTCTTCCCCTCTCTCTCTGTCCCTCCCCTGCTCTAATGCTCTCTCTCAAAAATAAATTACAAAAAAAGAAAATACTTATAATAGTATTGTAGTTATTACCATAAAGAATAGAGATCTGTTCACGAAAATAAGTATATAATTAGAATTAACATACTTACATAGACAAAAATCTTAAAATGCTGCAAAACTAAACATTAGAAATAAATAATAACTTTCTATGGCTCACCAAGGCATTATAGCTTACAAACCAGTATCATTCTACTTACACTAATCTTCATACCCATACTGCCTTTCATCTTTCTTACATCATTCTTACATCTGGCAAATTTACACCCACCTTTCAAAGACGACCTCTCATACCACATTTAAAAATTCTCCAATATCACATTCTCTAGAGCTTCTATGAACACTTATGGCAGAGAATTACTCCCTTCTCTGAACTTTAAAAATACATTGTATTTATCATCAAATCATAATAGCCACTTAAAACTGTGAGTTCCTTAACATTTTGTCAAAGTATCCCTACCAACTAGAAGATATCATGCAGTCAATAAATGTTTCCCAAATCATAAAATATAGGCAAATATTACTGACATCACGGGACTGTAATTCCAACTTTTCTGGAGACCAATTTAGTAATAAATAAGACTTACAACATTATTCTTACTCTTTGACCCAGTAATTTCATTGAGGGCAAGAGCTACACAAAAAGGAAATAACTTTTAAAAGTGAACAAAAGTATTAATAGAACTGATAGTTTACCCAATTACCAGTAAAAATAAGACCCTGATAAACGAGGTTCAGAAAAGTCTCTAATACCCCAGGCTCCTCAGGGTTTCAGGGCTCATGGCTGAAATGTGCCTTGGTTGAACTGGACTTAGGAAACGGCAATCCTGCTATTCTGGCCACGGCCTTTGCATGACAACCCTTTCCCCTCAAGTAAAAGGTGGCAACTCCTTAAAATTATTACTATTTATAATAAAATATTTAAAATATTAAATGCTCAACAAAGAAAATGCTTAAGCAACTATGGTAAAGATATATAATGGAACATTATATGAATATTTTAAAGGACTAACATGTAGACACAATTAAATGTAAATATTTATATGGAATAAAGTTCTATAAATCAAATACACAAAGTATTTTGAATATAGACTGCAACCATACTAAAATGCATATGTACATATTAGATACCATTAGAAAATCTGGAATTCTGGAAACATTTCTCATGTTCTTACCTTTTTTTTTGGGGGGGGGTAAAACTGCTTAAGTTCATAAAGAGCAATACTCAAAACTTTGGCACCTACCAATCAGGGCCTTTGACAGGAATATATTATAGATATTCCATAACAGAGTTCAGAAACTCAATCCTTGTTCTCTAAATCATGGCAATGAATATCCTGTTTGTTTTCTATTACCTAAATGCTACTGTACCCACTATAGGAGCCAGAAAAATGAGTTATTTGTGTGTTGCAGTAGGCTGAATTCTAATATGACCCCTCACTGCCCCTCACTTTCCCTAGTATCTAGGCATATAATGGCATATTGCTTCCATAACTGCATTATGTTATTTAGCAAATGGGATCTTGTAGATGTAATTAAGATCCTTAACTGTAGTTGACTTTAAGCTTATCCAAAAAGACTACTCTAGGTGGGTCTGACATAATCGGTGAGCCCTTAGGAGAAACCAGAGAAATTCAAAGCACAGAGGTTTTCTTGATAGCCTTGAACAAGTAAAGTGCTATGTTATGAGAGGAGGCAGCCATGCAGCAAGGGCTTAAGGGGCTTTTAGAAGTAGAGAGCAATTTCCAGCTAAAAGCTAGCAAGAAAACATGGACCTCACTTATATAGCCACAAAGTAATGAATTCAGACAACAATCAGTAAGCTTAAAAAAGTATCCTGTGCCTCACATGGGACTGAAGTATGGCTATCACCTTGATTTCAGCCATCTGAGATCCTGAACCATACATGGACTCCTGACCCACAACACCATGAGGTAATAAACGTGTGCTGTGTGTGAAGCCACTAAGATTTTAATAATCTGTTACACAGCAATAGAAAACTAATATTCTTATTTATTTTTATTAAACTAAGTTGACTTAGTTTTCAATGATGAGTTTTATTCATTCAACAAATATTTCATTTACAAATACTGATTCCTATGTGTCAGGCAGTATATCAACTGTGCTACATTTTATAATAAATAAATCCCAATGTTTTTTATTTTAACAAAACACTGAACTATGTATATGCTTAAAAGCATATACAGAAGAAGAAATCTACAACTTACATCAGAACATTTAAAAAGTCTGTAATAGATTTTAGTGACCAGTCTCGTATTTTGTCTTCAAAGGTGATCCCAAATAACATTTGATAGGATAACAGGATTATCCTCCACCTGAGATTTTAGACTCACTAGCGTCCCTTAATATCTTAATAACAATTTTGGCATTCATGAATTTATCACTGAAATCCATAGTTGACCTACTTATGTTTTACGGTTTTATTAATTCTAAGAGTATAAAGATCTATCTTATGAAGATAATACATTATTTTTTTCTAAAACAATCACTCTCAGTCTTTTTAAAAAAATTTTTTTTATGTTTTTATTTATTTCTAGGAGAGAGAGAGAGAGACAGAGAGCAAGCAGGGGAGGGTCAGAGAGAGAGGGAGTCACAGACTGAAACAGGCTCCAGGCTCCGAGCTGGCAGTCAGCACAGAGCCTGACGCGGGGATCGAACCCACGAACCGCGAGATCATGACCTAAGCAAAAGTTGGACGCTTAACCAACTAAGCCACCCAGGCGCCCCTCTCAGTCTTTATTAAGTACCCCCTAGTTCTTTCCCCCATATTTCCATAGATACATCTACTTTCCAGCAAATAAATGTAAATGGAATAAACTCTCTATTTAAAAGGTACAAACTTTAGGTGTGCCTAAGTGGCTCAGTCAGTTAGGCATCTGACTCTTGATCCAGGCTCAGTTCATGATCTTGCTGTTGTGGGATCAATCCTTATGTTGGGCTCTATGCTGAGCAGGGCCGGAATGGAAATTTCTATCTCCCTCTTTCTTTTGCTCTCCTATGTGCACTCTCTCTGACTCAAAATAAATAAATAAACTTTAAAGTAAAGTAAAATAATAAAATAAAATAAAATGAACTTCAGACTAGATAAAATGCAACTATATGTGGTTGGCAAGAGGCACATGTAACCATGAGGATGCAGAAAAACAAAGACAGTAGATGGAAAAAGATACATCAATCATATCAAAC